GGAAAGGTCAACCATAAACTACCTCCCTTAATGAACTTTTTACTGTACATGGAACTTCTGTTACGTATTAGAATTTCAAATGATATATAGTCAGTTTATGATATTTACGAACAAGATTGATACACACAGTTTTCTTTTTTTAACACAAATACATTTTAATATACTCATAACAATACAATTTACAATAACAGTTATTACAAATAGTCATTACAAACAATGATTTATAAACAAAATTTTTACAAACTTACAAGCAATATAAAGTCTTCTTGCTAGTTTGGAACTTCCTGGATATCTTATCGAGGGTTCACGAAGAGTGAGTTGATTATGAGTTGATATACGTACAATTCACTTAGTAGGGAGCTAGCTAGCCCTGTAGTTCTCTCTGATCACATTAATGTTTTGTAAAAGTACTAATGTCCGATGTGAATCCACTAAAGTTGAATGATTTGTATTGTTTGAAATTTATAAATGTTCCTGTTCAATATATCTGAAGTTCCCAATTAATAAGCATTAATCACAGTTACAGCTTATGAAGTTCTTTAGCAAACCAATAATAGATACTCTCTTTTGGTGTTTAGCGTTGGTTATATTTATAGGTGTGGGAAAGTTTTCTAGAAAATTCAGATTACGTAACAATACAAATTAAAGCATTTACATACACACACACATTGTTGATTCTTAAATCTCAAGAGTTTTCTACAACTTTGAAAAATATGCAGGAGTTACACAATACATATTTAACAGTATAAGCTATGTATGTTTCTAAATATAAACTTAATCTAAATAACAATCATATTAAAATAAATATATAATATCAGATTTGTTACACTTCCAAGACCACATTTATGTAGACATAGCAAAAGAGTATTGGAGTTGCTTCAGAGTATAATATGGGTATCAGGTGAAATAGGATTGCTGTAATTTCAGTTTCTCTGGTTGCCTTTTTTCCTGAAAATAGTCATGAAGTTGGGGGTATGGATGATGGGTAGTTTGTGAACTTTTGACTTGTGAGCCTTTGTCAACACTAATAAATCTTTGTTTACTTTCTTATTAAAAGTGCTAAGAGTTGTAGCTAGTTTAGTCAGAAATAGCTAGGGAACATGTTATATCATTTCTGAAAAAGTATGTTAATGGAAATATTGTTAAATGATGCAGAGTTAAAAAACACAAAACTTATAAAAAGTGAAGACTTCAATTTTTACCATAGAAGTGAAAAAAACTGAAACAGCATTTAGGCTAAAAACAGACTTCAAAATCACACTCCAAGCCAATCTGGAACAGTACTCATCCATAATGCAAAAGTTTTAGTTACAAAAGAGAACCCTTTAACTAAAAAAAAAACACTGTGGGGACTGATGCCATGGAACCACAGGTGACAAGTTTAACATCATTACATTTGGTTCAGAGGGACAACATTGAAATTACGGGGTTTTCTATGTATTTCACGTATTTGAACTGATACACTAGAAGGAATGCATCCATCAACGACACTTGGCCTACACTAACTAAATAGAGATCTGATTGCCACTCTTATAACGCATCCATACCCCAAAGGACAGAGCGTAATTTTTTTTTTCAACAACGTGAAATGGACCTCAGCCTGCTAAGATAACATTTGGTCAGCCCGCATATAAATTATTTATTGGTGTAACTTCGTGCAATATCTTTTTTTTTGTGCGTGTGTGATGAAAAATTGTGATTAAAAACTTATAACCTATTTTGTGAAACATAATTTTATTTCAATGATTCGAACCTCAAAATTCTCTTATAAGCACATTTTTATAAAATCTGTAAAAGATAACCTACACCCAAATCTCTGTCAGAGTGTCATATCAACAGCTTTGAAAGGCACAGGTTTATGTTACCAAGGGTTTCCAAACGTTATAGACATGAAGCTGCTGCTATCAATCGAAAACAAAATATTTACAAGCACAGATGAAAAACCTTCAAAACTAATAAAACTCTAGTTTGCACCAAAATCCCGTGAAGCATTTTTTTCTTTCCCTATTTATTAATTTAGCTTGAAAATGCTTCAATTTCTACAGATATTTAATTTTCAGTATTCTTTATAAAAAGTCTCAAGAAAACTACTTTCCATTAACCTGAATAATGTAACTGATGAGACTTGAACCAAAAATAGACAAAACTGCTCAGAGCTACGTTTATCGAATTTTTTTCCAAAAATTGAAAACAATACAAGTTCTGATAAGATGTGCAGTCTAAAACTAATAAAAAGTAATAACATAACTTATAACTTAATAAAGATTGTTAAATATGCTGGTATTATTTTTGCTATAAAATGTCAAGATTACAATTTCATATTTACTTCTTATAATTAAAATTAAAATAAACAAATTTTCAGGTATGAGAACTAAACCATAGAAAAATCAATTCTTAGGCTTAAAATGTCAGTTATTAAAATTTAATGTTCAAGATTAAGATTCAAACAATTTAATCTTTAAAGTTTCCTTCTTATAATAGAGTTCTGAACTATCTAGATGTATTTTAAATAACTTACTTTTTTGTCTTTCATTTAAAGAAAAAAATTAACACAGATAAAGTAAAAACACATTATAATACCACAAATATTCACACAATTATCCGTGACATGAAACATACAGTAAAACAGTGTACATATCATAAAAATAAATACATAATAAAAAATAAAGTATAAGACAAAAAAAAAAACTTTCTCAAACTACATAAAAAAGTTTAACTACTTTTTAAGCATTAACACCACCTATCCAAATCATGTTTTCACTTATACTTTAGTTAAAACTGTACAGCAAACCCATATTCCACTCGCTATTATTATTACGCAACAACATATTTTACACGATACTTTTTCAAAAAACCTATCACTTCTTTTCTTACATGTTCACATTACATTGCTTTTGATGACACATGTGATTGTTAAGACTAAACCTTCTTTGAAGTATTATGTAAAAGAGAGAAATTTAAACTACATTTCAAATTCAAGAATGCATGCTTTAAGACAGAAGACAAACAAGAGGTTTGTATCTATTACATATTCAGTGTGTGAAAATAAATGTCATACAGATTTTATAAAGAACAATCAAAAACTCAAGTTCTCGGTACACCGAGTCAGGTTGATAGCTCAAATGTTAAGGTTTTTTTTTTATTCTAAGAGGAAATATAACATTTTCCAGTTTATCAATTCTAATGAAGCATGTTTGTGTGAATTATATACATACAATATTTTCTTTAACTAGTTCCAATACATTAGATACAAGTATTACTGTTATGACAAAAAAATGCTGCTCAACATTTGGAACTTCCGATGCATATTAGATTTATACTTTGAGATCTAACAGCAGGTTAAAACCGGACAGGCAATGATTAGGCATAGTCATGCACTTAATAATTACACACAAAGTAAAAGTGCATTTAACTGCAATAACATTTGCACAATTTTTTTTTTGCATTTTCTTAAAACTAACATGGCTTGGAAGAACACTTGCCTAAGTAACAAAAGTGATAGTTTGGCACCGGAGGGGGGTTAGCCACAAAATCTGTTTTCTTCAGTTTCCAGTACAACTTACTTAACAAAAACATTTAGCAAAACAATAGCTAGCTCTCTTCAGTAAAAAATAATATGCAGTTAAGATTTTTTTCTTGTTAATTACATCACCTAGCACCAACATGTATTATAAGTACAACAAAACGCAGCTGTACTTCCCTCAAGCTGGAACGTCTGCCATAACAACTGCTAAGTTCATACCTATCTATTTTGACTAAAAGTTTTTCCTATTTCCTGGTGTGCTAGGAGTCATTTAAGCCAGTAAACACACTGGCACAGTTTATCATGGTCATAAATGAAACATTTTTCTTTTAAATTTATTCAAATGAGTGAAGGCTACAGATTATATGGATAGAGGAGAAGCTAACTTTTAAAGCTTTATGTATTAAAGTAAAAGAAAAAAAGAACATAATTAATAGTTACTTATATTTTCCTAGCCCTTATTAGTGTGAATGAGCTTCTAAAGAAAGCAAATGCCTTGACATGTCATAAGAAACTTTATTCTTTCTTTAAAAAGGCTTTTTTATAATACTTTAATCCAGAAATAATAAAAAACAAAAAATAAATTATAACCACAAAATAATTTATTTTTAAATTTTTAATATCAACACGAGATTTGACAAAGGTGTAACTGCTCAAGACTTGTATGATTTCCTAACATAATTATAGATGTTTTTTTTAGTGTTTTAATGGATTCTGCTAAACCAATGACCTCTATTTTACAGTTATAATTAATTAATATAAATAATACACATTTTCAAACCACAGTTGTTTAGTATGGTTTAAAAGGTGTATCACATATATTAAGTATATGCCAAACGTATTCAAGTAAATCAATTAATTCATATAATTGTGACTATTTTACATCTGAGGGAAGGGAAGAATTACACTTTTTGGATAATAAATTACATATGTGCAACTATCACAGAACAACAAGCTAATAATAATAATAAAAAACAGCAATGCTTAAAATCTGTGTGATGTAACAATTCACCAATAATACAGTTATTTACTGCTGAAAAATATTGTTAACAGCAAGTTTTTAGGAATACACACAAGTTAAAAAAACAAATAAAGGCAAAAACACAACAAACCCTATAAACCTAAGTGCTTTTGAAAGGTGCATCTTTCTTCATCCGGGGCAGTTTTATTTTCATCTTTATCAAGGAACATTTGCTTGTTACATAAACATTTTAAATCTAACATTGCACCTGGATGTAGTAGTTTTACAACCAATACATAAATTTTAAATATTTGTTCAAATTTACTTGCTACCATTAGTGGTCAAAAAATAAGGTGATTCTGCACACAGGGATAAAATTGGGAATGCTGTATTTGGGAAACAATACATATATTTAAAGTAGCATAAAAATAATCAAGGAAAAAAAAAAATATTCACAGAATCTATATCTGAATGTGATAAGAGATTTGAAATGGTATACTCTGATGTAAATGCACAAGTAAAAATTCACAAAGAATACTTACCATTAGAACATAATTTTTGTGAAACACGAAGATTAATCATATGGTCAAGTCAGGGAAAATTATTGTTGAATAACATCTACCTATAAAAAAGCTGCAATGTTTTGTGATGAAACATTCAGATGAAATGGTAGATTTTCTTGCATGCTCATTCTGGTGGTGGTTATTAAAACTATTATTGCCATCTTATTTGTGGCCAGTGTGAACAATGAAGAAGATGATATCTAATAAGTGTTGAACAATTATTCCCTAATTGAAAAAGCACTGACAGATTATGAAATGTTCATAATTTTTCCACACTATATAATACAGACAAATCTGACGGTATCACCATACTGTGTCGGTCTGTTTTACTTCACTCAGTATGAAAAAGGTGTAAAATTTCCTAAGCTCATTCCTTTCATTTTACATTCCATTAGTTAGCACCAAACACAAAAGTTGTAATAAGATATATTTATAATAACCCTATAGCAATTTCAAATACAAAAACATGTAAGTTAGAACTGTCTATCAATTCTTATGTTCTCATGCGAACTATGAATTGTACAAAAACCTCAATAAGGTTAATGCAGGTTAATGAATGCATGGTACAGAAGGTATATATTCTTACAAATATGAGCTTTATACTACAATAATATTGTGTAAGCAAGGACAAAGAATTCATGTTGGGTTTAAATTTATATGTTATCTTTCACTTAAAAATAAACGTTTATCCAATTTTCTTGAATACCCACTACCAAACCTACAGTACGTTATTAAATATATATATATATTTATAGCTATACACAACTGTACAATCAATCTTATTTAATTCTTACAAATCAGAATGATTTTCTCTCTCTCTTTCTTCTTTTTTGCATCTATAACTTTCATTTTAGTGTTTTTCAACTGTATTTCCTTTTCTTTTGACAATTTCTTGTTGGCTAGTTCATCCAGAGCACACACACACACACTGTTTTTAACAACAAAAATAGCAAAAATGACTGTAAGAAGAGACTTGTGTTTTTGAAGCCAGAAAAGACCATATTCAACATTACTTTGGTACCTACAAAAGCAATGATAGTTTTGCAAATTTCAAAATTGTTTAATGAACAGATAACAATATTATAGATGATATAAAGCTTGATAAGATAACACGCACATTAACAAAACATAAGATTAATCAGCACAATGAATTCTTCTTGGCTTCGTATTAAATAAACCTGGGCTTCTGACAGGAAGACAAACACAGATTTTATAAAGTTCATTTCAATAAGAAGCCAGAGCCAGGCTGTATAGTGTCTAGACGACGATAGAAGAGAAGGTAAGGAACTCTGGGTGGACTGTAACGAAGAAGTTGGGTCTCTGTAATTGGAGTTATAGTACGATCATCACAGCGTAGCCATCCACCGCTACCAGCATGATACACATCTGTTATGTAATGACCCTTCACTGCTTCCTTTCCCTCATGATATACCACTGTGAATAACATTTTTTTTTTAGATCAATAATAAAAATACAGAACACTGCTTATTTACAGAACTTCTCTCTTCTGATAGAAAACAGATAAAATATGAATTAATTTAATTGTCTGTAGCACTACTGAAGTTAACAGTCAAATTCGGTCATCTCACCCTCCATATATAATGAGGGAAGACATGGGTGCAAAAATGCAATAGCTTGTTAACTGGGACTACCAAGTTTTCAGTTCAGGCTATCTTAATTTCCATATGCACTTGCTCAGGGCTGGTGCAGTCTAGCTTGCATGAAATTTATGCATGAGTATAAATTCCAACTCTATAATTAATCATTAGTTTATAAAAATGCTACATATTATTATTATTTTATTTTTAAATCATTAAATACATACTGTCAATGAAATTTCTAGAAGATCAGTAGCTTGCACATGTGAGTGACTCAGTTACTGATTTGTAAATTACAATGTTCAATTATTTAGTTTCATATTTCTAACACTTTAATCTAGACGATTCGTTTTGCTAGGATTAAAATAGTTAATCTCCAATGTAAAGTCTTACTGATTGGAGATGAAACAGTGTTAGGGTGAAATGACTATGACAACTCACTTGCAATCCTGCAACCTTTTTTCTAGGTACAACAGAAAAGAGCAAGATGTTCAAAATGTCAGTCATGGTGTGATAACGTTGATTTCATCCAATACAAGACTGATTAATTTGCTCATAAATTCCCCATTTGTGTCACTAATGCTGTTGTAAATCATATTATTTTCAGTTTTGTAACAGTATGGAAGAAGTCATTACAATGAATTTAAATGTGCACATATTTGCAATGTGTAATAATGCAGTCATTATAGTGAAAAAAAAAAACTTTGTTGAGCTAGTAGAACATCAGTTCCATGAATACATTTATCATGCCTAATAGCCTGGGGAAGGTTTTTTCTTTTTTTACTGTTTTGATCGCGCGCATGTTGGAGTTCAAAAAAATTCTTTGACTTTTTTTTGTACAAGCAACAGACTTCATAGTTTTAACGTTTACACTTAATAAAAAGTGTTATATCAAAAACAACTTTCACACAAAACATTTTTATAATTGCAACATCATTTATTGCAAAATGTTTCTTGTATACCTAAGAGTTATTTACCAAATATGTTTTATTGCACTGTTTAGATTTCCATATTATATATTTTTATTATGTTCAGAAACACTTGTGTCAATGCTTCTTCCGGTTTCGTCTACATAACCTTTCTCACAGGATATTGGCATGATTGTTTTGCAGGGTAATTATATGTTTCTTTCACACTTCTTTACATTTTAAAATTTTTTTGTATTTAAAATCTGTGCAACTCCAAATCATGCAGCGCATTATAGCAATTCTGGTGCTAAAAAATAAATTATGTAACTCTAAATCTGCATTATAAAATGTCACGTTATAGCAGGTATACCTGTACTTGGTTAGGATTAATTTCTATCTAATAATTATAGTGTATTTTCAATAAATAATAAGTTATTTTATTTACCTATGTTGTGAGAATAATAAAACTTACCAATAATATTCAATCAATAAAGATTACAGTCATCAGAATATTTTAAATCTAACTAGGCTTACCTGATGTCTTGTCATAGAAGAGAATTTCTCTAGATTTCAAAAAATTATAATTTAACACAAAAACGTTTTCAGGAACAAAAATGAAACTATAAATAATTCCCAGATCTATGATTTGTTCTCATGTTTTTAAACTTCCCACTAAACCCCTTTGTTGTTCTCTGCGGGAGATATATCTAATCACTTTCCCATGAAACCATACACTTCTTGTCACTCCACTTTATTAATTCTATGTTGATATGAATTGTTTATAACTGCTATATCCAATGGAACTGAAACTTATCTTCTAGTTATTTTCGAGGCTGAACTCGATCATTAGTTATGTACATCACATGCAGTAAGGTCATAAAAGGGTGGGCAAGGAATACTGTACTAATAAAGTCAGAGAAAGAAAAGGAAAACCATGTGATAAATAAAACATAGAGAATATTATTCTCAATGGATGATAGTTTTAGGATGGGCAGAAAAATTCTAAACAGAGAGAGACTAATTTCCTTGGAGCTTGTAGAAATATAAAACTGAACATGATTTTCTATGTTCCTTTGCTAGTTACACTAAAACAAATCACACAAAATAACATATTTCTGAGTAAAAGAATTACCGAAACAGATTTAGGTTTATTATTTTCCCTTAAATTTTGAAAGTTGATATGCAGGTTTGAACTTGGCACCTTGGTTAAAGGTGCTCACAGATCCAGATATGGCTTAATTGTAAACAAATTTCATTTTCAATCCTCATATTCACTTAAAAAAACACCAAAAAAGGTAATTTATAAAATATTATAATACTCACCAGCAAAGAGCTTGTAAGTACGAAGTGATTTATGACTGTACTTGCTTCGCACCTCTTGAGAAAGAATATCTGTAAGGCAAAGAAAAGATCTACTAACAAACAGTATAAAGCAAACTAATAGTCTTCTAAAAAAAATTTTTTACTTAGTATGTTAGTTTTCTGATTTATTGTTAATAGACAGACATCTCAATTACAGGTTTATTAGCCAGGCAGTGATGCAAACCATCCCAAAATACATAGAAGTTTTACAATATTAAAATAAAAAAACATTACTAAATAATGTAATATCTGCTAATTATAATACAATTTATACGTATAGTAATAAGCCTAAACCATGAGGCCCCTCCAAAAACAAAATAAAAACGGCAGCAAATGCTTCAACTAGTAAAACAGTTAACTAAAACACAACAACACCTTTTTGTTCACTTTACGTGTAGCAGTGACATATCATTAAAAAAGAAAAACAATAATTCTCATTCTGAGACAAGAACTAAAATTAATTTTACTATAATAGGAACCACAAGTTAACGTTTTTCTATATAATCAATTGTACTAACTACATTCTTAATCTACCAGTAAATGTTTTTTTGTTTGTTTTTTTCACAAAAGAACTAATTTTCTGAAATGCAAAAATCCATTTCTTGACTTTTAGTTTGAGTTTCCAATTATTAGTCTTGTAAGTAAGGTTTCACAAAAGGTTTTTCAATAAGGAACTGTGAATTATTAGAATAATGTTTAAACACAAGTATAGGGATTAAGAATACAATATAAAATAATTGGCATATGCTAGTGCAGTGAGGTCTCACCGGTATTTTTGTTTAACATTTGTGTGTAATTCATGTTATTAGGTACTATGTAACAAACATATTGACTGACCGATTAGCAGTTAGTTGCATAAATAGTTTATAAAAACGTGTTTATAGTGGCTTATGGGGCTCATCGGTAACTCTTGGATTAATATGGAAATTGCAACCAATATTGTCCCTTTGCGAAACAAAAGCAGACTAGGTACTCATGGAATTTTTGATATATTTTCATTTAACCGTGTAGATCCACAGTTCTGGATTTTCATTGCAATAGCCTTCTTTTCTTAGTTGGCCAGGTAGTTAGGTCGCTCGACTCGCAATCTGCGGGTTCGAATCCCCGTCCCACCAAACATGCTCGCCCTTTTCAGCCATGGGGCCGTTATAATATGACGGTCAATCCCACTATTCGTTGGTAAAAGAGTTGGCGGTAGGTGGTGATGATTAGCTGCCTTCCCTCTAATTACACTGCTAATTTTTTT